TCCCTCAGAGAGCAGCTCGGAAGAGAGGGGCGGGGTCAGCATAGCTCATTAACATTTAAAGGAAAATGCTACAAAACGGCTTGCTCTGAAAAAAGAGCTAATTTTGACAGGGTAAAAAAAGTGTTTTTTACACATTGAGAAATTTGAACCAAACTATGTTACAGACTTTTCATTAAGACCCTAAAGAATCATATCAACTTGTGGAAAATGGGCCTCCAATGACCCCTTTAAAGCTCCTTAAAAGTTGTTTGTCATAAGGTGAGACTGCAGAATCTTGGGCTTTCTAGCAACTGATAGATAAAGTCCACTATTTAATTAGCATATTTAATTTAGATTTAAATTAAGTAAATCACATTAGATCACATTTTAATCAAGGCTAACTGAAAAGAAATGTGATTTAAATGAATCCAATCGAACTTAATCAGATTTCAGATTGATCTCTATTCCTTTCTCTTCTCATTAGTATTCATCCAGTTTCGTCTGACCTATTAAAGCCATTTGTCAAATAGCATGCAAAGCGCCCCCTGTCCAATCAAGCTTCATTTAAATGCATTTTGACATCTGTTTTCCCAGATATCACACTGGTGGCCAGGAGCCTGACAGTGAAGAGCACTGCAGCATACTAATATTCCCACGGGTAACCAGTCACAAATCTCTCAATGAAAACGTACCTGACAGTTACACGCAGTGATATCGACATGGACAGCAGAGAGAGTGTTTGATACACATCAGCGTGTTGTTGTTTATCTATCGTCTCCAAATCGACAATACCATACAATCATAAGCAGTTGTGGCTTGTTATTTGGTGCAGGAAACCTTGACTAACATTTATAAATGCACTTCAGGGATTAAGTGTGATACTAATGTGCTTAAACTGATATCGGTACAGCTGGTCACCAGTCAGACCACATGTTAAATGTGCCGTCATCCAATGGACCGACTCGTTCTCGTGAAGAAGCCTTCTGGCCTTTGGTCAAAAACCTGCTTTCCATCCTTCTGTCTTTCCATATCTGTCATTCCCTCTCTCTTGTCAACCATTACGGCCTTATCAATATAAATCTGACCATCTGTGTAGCTCAGGTGCCCTGTCTCTGCCAGAAGTGTTAAACTTATGCATAAATCAGCTGTGCCTCATTTCTGTTTTGAAGATTCCTCTAAGCGTTCCTCCTGAGCACAGAGATGCTGAATTTATCACGTTGGTAATAAAAAACAGGTGGTTGATATAGTTTTTGGAAAAAACGCACAAAGACATATACATTCCCTAGCATTGGGTCACATTGCACCAATCTTTTCTTTATTTTGAAATCGGGAGATGCAGTGTTTTGGCAGTGCGCATGATGCCCACGCAGCGTTTACAGTGCTGCTTCCTTGTGTTCATTATGTTAATGTTTCTCAAATCTTTTGAAAGTTTTCCTAACTCAGGCTAGTGAGGGCTTTGTTTTCACAGTCGGCCTTTTTAACTGTATTAGATTATGCTCAGTTTGTCCAAAGAGTTGTTTCCAATAAAGAGTTTTGGATGGAGCTGAGGGGTTCTTAAACTGACCTGATGTTCAGTATGAGTGTGGAAAAAGAGTCTAGATTAGGGAATTTATCATTTTTTAATTTAGGGGGTGAGCTATTCATCCAGAGCGTCAGCACATAAGTTGTCCCTCAACTTGTGTTATGAATCATTTGTGAATTAAAATTGATTTGGCAGCTGTTTTTAAAGTGTTTAATTGTTCAGTGTCTAACCAACTCACTAAATGAATTCAGAACACTCTAGCAACACCATAGAAACCACTCTGAACACTTTAGCAACAGTCTAGCAACACCCTAGACTCCATTCAGAACACCTTAGCTACTGTCTGGCAATACTCTAGCAAATGCTTGGCACCCTCCTAACAAACACCTTAGCAACTGCCTAGAAGCACAGTAGCACCATACTGAATTCCCTAGCAACACATTATCAACTACTCACACCACCTTAGTGATTGACTGGCAACACCCTAACAACCACTTTGAACACCTTAGCAACTGCCTAGAAATGCTCTCTCTGGCAACCGTTCATAACACCTTAATAACTGACTAAAAACACCCTAGACTCCTTTCAGAACACCTTAGCGACTGCCTGGCAACACCCTAACAACCACTCTGAACACCGTATCAAATGTTTGGAAAACCCTCTTATAAACACCTTAGCAACTGCCTAAAAACACACAGCACCATCCAGAATTCCCACAGCACCTTATCATCCACTTACCCCACCTTAGCGACTGCGTGGCAACGTCCTAGCAACAACTCTGAACACCTTTTCAAATGCTTGGCAACCCCCTTAACAGTCCCTTTAAAACGTTACTAACTGCCTAACACACAGTACCATCCAGAATTCCCTAGCAGCATCTTATCAACCACTCATTCCTCCTTAGTGACTACCTAGCAATACCCTAGCAACCCCTCTGAACACAAATTCTTGGCAACCCCCAGTCACTTCTAAGACCTTAGCAACTTCCTAGAAACACACCAGCACCATCCAGATTTCCTTAGCAACACCTTATCAACCACCTTAGCGGCTGCCTAACAACACCCTAGCAACCCCTCTGTACACTTTAGAAAATGCCTGGCAACACCCCAGCAACCATAAAGCATTTGTTGTATCACTTCTGTCTCTCATAACACCGCAAATCAGCAACTCTCATTCAAACTGAATGACTTCCGCTTACTGCAAATCGCTGTCAGGGTGAATCCGCTTTCTGGCTGTATGGATCGGGTCTCTATTTTTCCTCTCTGTCTGTCTCTCTCTCTTTCTCACAGAATTTTGGGATTTTGTCAGCCCACTGTTCAGCAGTGCCATCGATTTCCTCTCTTTTAGCTCCGCTGTGCCTGATTGGACGAAGAGGAAGATTTCTGCCACCCCTCTCTCTCTTTTGCACTCTCTTTATCTTTTTCCCTCTCTCTCTGACCACAGACTCTTCATTTATTTATCATCTCTCTCTCTCTCTGTTATTCACACACTCTTTCTCACTCATATACCTCACACTTCCAGACGTGCAGACATCAGTATTAAAACAGTTTGACACATGAGATAAATGGCCAGTGCCTGTGGTTGAACATGTTGTCACAAGTCATCCATTTTCTTTTAAAGAAGACGAAAGTGCTAAGAGATTTTTTTTTTCTTTTTCCCCAGTGAGCATCATCATGCCATTGTTTTGGTGGTTCTAAAAGCTGTTTTTCCATTAATGTCATGTAATGTTTTTCAAAACTGTGTGTAATCTGTCACTATACGACTGACTTTGCCTTAAGAGTTTTATTAGTTTGCCCAAAAAATTCTGTCATTATTTATTTTCCCTCATTTGATTCCAAGCTGTATGGCATCTTTTTTTTTTATTCTGTGGAATACAAAATGAAAAATTTATGAATGATGATACTTTTATAGTGCTTTTTATCATTTTTGGAGCTTGACAGCCTGGATCTCCATTCACTTTCATTATGTAGAAAAGAGCAGCTAGTATGTTCTTCAGCATTTCTCCTTTTGTGTTTCACAGAGGAAAAAAGTCGTACAGGTTTGGAATGACATGAAGGTGAATAAATGATGACAGAATTTTCTTTTCTTAGATGAATAATAATAATAACTCATGCTTTATGCTTTCTGATCTAGCTTATATTATTAAAAAACTCTTTCTTTTAATTTCAGATCCCATTCTCGCTGGTGCAGTTTCCACTCTGGGAGTACCTAAAGGTATGAATCCACTTTTTTTCTCTCACTTGCTCTCATTTCGATCTAATTTGGCCTCATAATTTCACTCTAATAAAGGAATAATGGCCTGGTAATGGTCTGACACATTTACAACTCAAACTGCACACACTTTGCCTCGCTATCTGTTAATAACTCTCTTTTTAGGTGCTCTCAAAATGATGCTGCATTTTATTGGTCGCCCTCACCGGTGGTTAAGCGGAATCGTAATTTCTCGCAAGGCTTGAGTCTTAGCCAACTGTCCATTTCCTTCTTCATTGTCTGGTCCGGGCCACATAAAAGTCGTTTATGTGCCCCCCCCCCCCCCCACGGCCCC